CCCCCACCCTGGTTCTCCTCCTGCCTCTCTGCCCTTTCCCTCTCTGTCTCCTTTGCTGGATCTTCCTCTGGACCAAGCCCTCTCACTGTCCCCCCTAGTTCTATCCTCTTCTCTTCTCCCTCCACCATTTCACTTGGAGATCTCATCAGCTCCCGTGGACTTAATTACCATCTCCATGCTGATGATTCTAAAACCTACCTTTTCTGCCTCAATCTCTCTGCTGACTTCCAAGCTCATGTCTCTAACTGCCTTTCAGACATCTCCAGCTAGAGGTCCAGGAGACTTCTTTAAACTTCAATATGTCTAAAACGGAACTTATTGTCTTTTCCCCTACCCTGTTGTCCTCCCGCTTTCCCTATTACTATAGAAGACACCATCCTCCCAGTCCCTGAGGCTCACAAGCCAGGAATCCTCCGGGACCCCTCACTCTCTCTCACCGCCCCCATGTCCAATCTGTGGCCAAGGCCTATTTCATCTTCACCGCATCTCTCCAATCCGCCCCCTTATCTCCCCTGGGGCAGATGCCGCGCATATGGACTATTGTACTAGCTGCTGGTGGGCTGGCCGACTCTGGCCTCTCCTCACCTAGTTCATCCTCATTTAGCCACCAAAGCAATTTTCCTAAAGTGCGGTTCTGATCATGCCTGCCTCCCCCCACTCAGTAAACCCCAGGATCCAATGCTAAATGCTCTGTCTGGCATTCAGAGCTTTTCCTAACTGGCCCCCTCCCACTTTTCCAGCCTTCTTACACCCCCAGCCTCAGTCCCCCCCATATTCTTCCACCCGGTGACTTGGTCTCCTGGCTGTTCCTCTAACAAGACCCTCCATCGCTTGACTCTGGTCATTTCCCAGGGCTGTGCCCTGTGCCTGGAATGCTCTCCCCCCACCCCCCACCCCCTCTAGCCTTCTGTCAGCTAAATCCCATCTTCTACAGGAAGCCTCTCCCTCTCCCCCTTAATTCTGGTGCCTTCCCTCTGGTAACTATTCCCAGCTCCTCTAGGATTGTTCTACATAGTAATAATATCTGTGTTCTCCCCCTGCCCCACACACACCCTGGCCACACACCCATTAGACTTGTGAGCCTCTTGAGAGCGGGGACCAGTTTTTGCTTTGGGGCTACTTTGTATTTCTAGGTCTCAACACAGTCCCGGTGAGCGCTTTATCTGTTGTTTATTGAATGGCTGACTAATTCAGGATTGAGAGTTAGGTCCAGATGGAGGTCCTGAAGCCCGGTTTAATGTTGACTTGTTTCTGAGGAGCTGGGGGGTGGGGGGTGGGAGGTCCCACTCTTGCTTTTGCCAGACCTGGAATCCGAGGTGGTATGGGGGTGATGGAGCAGTAAACAAGTTTGGCTGAACAGGGATCTACGTTCTAGTCTCAGCTTTGCCTCTGACTCACTGGATGATATGGAGGCCCTCTGGACCTCATTCCTCCTACGTAACATGGTATCAGTAGGGGCTGGGATGGAGGGATTGGACTCCATTATCTTTCCCAGTTCTAATGTTCTGAGGATGCTTAAGCAGGGCGTCCCTTACCTGGTTATTACCCAATGTTTGTTTGCTTTTTTCTTAGACGTAGAAAAAGTAATGTTGGATACAGAAAGGTTAAAATGTTATGGTATACATGTCTGAAGTCAAAAAACTATTTTATAAGGGGTTCCTCAGTTTCCCTATTTGTTAACTGGGGAGAGACAGCATGGTAGAGCAGAGTGGGGTGCTGGAGAGTCTGGGTTCAAATCTCAACTCTGTGACCTTGACAAATCACTTTCACTTCTTCAGGGTACAGGGTGTACATCTGTAAAATGAGGGGGATCCTCTAGGACCATTAAGGTCCCTTCTGTCTCTAAACCCAGGATCCTCTGAATAGATAGTTACTGCTGATGCTCCTTCCAGCCCTGACCTTCCCTGTTCTAAGGCCCCTCCCAGCCCTGACCTTCCCTGTTCTGAGGGCCCTCCCCTCTGACTTTCCCTGTTCTAAGCTTTGACCTTCCCTGTTCTAAGGCCTCTCCCAGCTCTGACGTTCCCTGTTCTAAGGCCCCTCACAGCCCTTACATTCCCTGTTCTAAGGGTCCTTCCAACTCTGACACTCCATGTTCTAAGGGTCCTCCCAACTCAGATGTTCTATGTTCCATTATTTTTGTTCTAGCTGGAAGCCACGGCCAGTTTTTGCATCTGGGGTTAGACTTGCATCAAAACTAAGCTCAGGGTTGAGTTGATTGAGCAAGGTCAAGGCCGGGAGGAGCTTGCCCTTTGGCCTGAGGCTCAGGGGGCTCCCTGGATGCTGGAGGGAAGGGCTGAGGCTGTGAGAGCTTGAGGGCAAAGCTGTCGAACATTTCAAGGGCTGGTGAATCACAGGCATGGCCTTGTTGATACACCCCAATCCCCAGAGCCCCATCCCACCACCCGCTCCTTGCTGCTCACAGCGGAAAACATGTCTCACCCGAAACCTGCTGGGGGACAGAGTGCTGAGGCCCTCAAGGCCCCAGGGGAGGACCACTGCCTTCTCTGCTCAGCTTCCCTTCGGATGCCTCTCCATCAGAGAGGCCAGAGCCAAGACATCCCCTGCACCTGGCCTTCCCAGCTCTGGCTCAAAGGCTAGATGGAACCGGCTTCTCCTACTGAGAGGCCAGGAACCCAGAATAGAAGTCATTAGAGCAGGGTCCTGGCCCCACTTAGGCCACTGAGATGCTTCTGTGACATTTCTTCCTCTCCCTGCCCCTCAGTTTCCCCATCTCTAGAGGTGTTGGACTAAATGACTTCCAAGTCCCCTGCCAGCTCTGACAGCATTCTATCATTGAGGAAGAGCTGTGAGCCCCAGTTTCCATGCAGGGTAGGATGGCAGGGTCTTGAAATGGACCTGGTCCTCAAGAGCTGGGGTGGTGGTAGCGGGAGCCTCCTCATGGGATGTGACAATGCCTCCCCTTTTCCTTTTCTCTCTGCAGAAATAAGAATGTCTAAGCCCCTGGAGCCGGAGAAGCCAGGTTTGGACTCTCAGTCAGAGCACACAGGTAGGAAGGGTTTTCTGGGCAACAAGGGAAGAAGGTGGAGCCCCAGGTGGGAGTAGGGCAGGGGTGGTCCTAGCTCTTCCTTCCTTCTCCTTGCAGACACAGAAACCAATGGACCAGATGCAAACCATCAGGTAAGGAAGGGGAGCTAGCTGAGAGGGAGCAGGCCTGACGAGGAGCTAGATCCCAGACTCACCTCCTCTTCCTCCCTTCTCTCTCCTTTCAGAACCCCCAAAATAAGGCCTCTTCATTTTCCTTGTCCCCAACGGGTCCCAGCACCAAGGTGAGAGTGGAACTTGTAATACCTGGAGAATGGTGGGGAAAATTACCTGGGTGAGGTGGGATCTGGAGGGAGCAAGGGAGGTCTGGGCTAGAGGTCGGCTTGTCCTGAAACCCCCAGAGGGAGCCACTCAGCTTTGGAGCATCAGCAAAGCAGTTTCTCCTTCCCACCCGCCTGCCCCAAACTTATGACTCATCCCATCTCCTTCCCCTTCCCCTGGGGTTGAGGGGGGGGGTTGACTGGGGAAATCCCCCCTGGGGCCCCGGGGCATGAACAACAGGAAGCTGAGGGCCCAGCCCCCATCCCTACTTCCCTGCCTGGCCCTGGCTTCGCCCTGACTCTCAGCACCTCCAGACCCTCCCTTCACCCCAACAACACTCAAAGGAGAGGCTGGGGGAGGAGGGAGAGGGGAGGACTGTAGGGAGGGTGGAAAGGACCTGAGGGGGAGAGGAGAGAGTAGGGAAGCAGAGAATTGACAAACCTAGGAGAGATGAGAGGCGATGGAGAGAGAACAGAGAGGAGATGGAGAGATGGGTGCGTGGTTTTCCTCTAGTGCATGAAACCTCTTCTGGGAGCGTTCTTGTCTGGCCAAGGGCCTGGCTTGGGCCTGCACACTGAAAGTCCCTGAGAGGAGAGAGGGGTATTTTTATTTTTTGTGTCCCCACGCCTGTGGTTTTTTTTTTCCCCTAATTGGATTGTGTGGAGATAGGGAGAGATGGAGAAGAAAAAGGAAGAAAAAGAGGAACTAGAGAAAAGGAAGACATGAGGAAAGGAGAGGGGCAAAGAACAGCAGCTCCAGAGTCTCGGACCCCCTACTATTGGAGTGAGCTGGGGCAAATCACTGCCTGGCCCCAGTTCTGAGTTTCCTGCTCTGTCCAGTAATGGATCTAGAATCCCATGAAAGGGAGAAGAGAAAGAAAGGAGAAGGCTAGGGAGAAGATATGGAGGAGACAGGGAGGGATGGGGAGAATGGAAGACAGAGATTGAGGGTCAGGGGACCTGCCATTTACAGCTGAATAGGTCCTCAGAAAAGGGTTACCTTGTCCCACTGACTCATTTTGCAGATGAGGATATGGGAGGTTAAGTAACTCAGTACACACTACAGCCAGATTCAAACCCAGGGCTTCTTACTGCAGAGATGGTACTCTGTCTGATGGACCTCCAAAGAGCGAGAGGAGGGGGCTGGAGAGGAGAGGCAACTGTGAGAGGAAGCGGGAGAAAAGAGGCTTGTAATAAGGAAATCTCGAGATAAGCTGAAGTGGAGAGGCTGGGGTTGCACTGTGAGGCGGGCAGCTGAGGGCCGAGGCGGAGCTGGGCCAAGGGGCAGCCCAGGCCAGTTGCCACCCACAGAGCCGGCCAGGGGGACATCCTGGCCGCTGCTCCTGCTGTGTGGTCCCATGGAAGCCACCTGGTTTCTTTGTGTCAGGGTCTAAAATCATAGCTATTTTGTTACAAAGGGGAGAAGAAGAGGTGTCTAATTTTCTTCACCATGATTGGTTCCCTTTTCAGGACCCCAAACTTGCCTCTCTCCCCATGCAGATCAAAGCTGAAGACTCCAGCAGTGACCCGGGCCCAGTGGCCCCACCGCCCCCACCCCCATCCCAGCCCCACCTACCCCAGGCCCAGCTCATGTTGGCTGGCGGGCAGCTGGCTGGGGTAAGTGACCCAGGATGGGCTCCAGGTGAACCTTTGGGGTCAGGGCCTAGCTCTCCACAACACCAGATGAGGGGAAACGGAACCCTAGCTATTCCACATATGTTGTAAGGAAAGGCTCTAGACCCTCTGGTTCTTTCTAAGGGGGCCCTGCAAATGAAGCCCTCTTGAGTCTTGCCATAACAGGACCAGAGGGAGCCCTCTTGTCCTTGCCAAGCCCTCACCCGGCCTCAGCTGAAGCTGTTTTAGTTCTCCTCTGAGCAGCCACAGTCCAGAACCAACTGGGTGGCCCCTTCTTTCTCCCACTGCCCACATGTGCAGAAAACAGCTCCAGGGAGACTTGGCTCCCAGGTACAGCCGAGGGCGCTGGTCCCCAGCCCACCTGAGTTTGTTTCTTTCCTCTGACGCTAACTCCACCCGGCTCTTTTCGGCTTGGCTGCCTGGTCCCCAGCTCTGTCACTAACCTGCTGCTCGTTTCTCCCTCACCCCCATGTCACTCTTTCCTAACCCTGTCTTGTCTGGTGACACCCATCATCTCACTCCTTGGCCCCCACTCCGTCTCCTCCTCACCTTGTCTTCTCCCCCGACCCCCATCATCTCACTCCTCGGCCCCCCCCATTGTCTTTGACCCCGCCTGGCCGCCACCCCTCACCCCAGCTGACGGCCCTGATGCCCACCCAGCAGCAGCTCCTCCTGCAGCAGGCTCAGGCCCAGCTCCTGGCCGCCGCGGTCCAGCAGTCCAACGCCGCTGCCGCCGCTAATGCAGCCGCTGCCGCCTCCGGGCAGCCCCCTGCCCCAGCTGGGGGAGGTGACCTGCCGCCGCAGCCACCCGCCAGCCAGCCCCCGGCGACCCCCCAGCTCACCCTGTCCCAGCCCATCCAGCTCACGGCCCAGGTAAGGCGGGGCACACCTACAACCTGGACGGGGCGAGCCGAGCGCGGAAGCAGCCAGCACGGGCCGGGAGGGGACGTGGGCACCCCGGCACACCCCTTCCCCTCCGCGGCCCGTGGTATCCCTCCCGGTCAGCTCTTCTTGCACCCTGAGCTTTCTTCTTTGCTGCCTCCAGCTCATCTGGCTATGCTAATCTCCCAGAACTGGGCCCACCTACTCACAGCCTGGAGCAGAAGGTGCCTCAGGCATCATCCAGGGCCATCTCTCTCCCCCCACCCCCCACCCCTCCACCCTGGCCAAAGCAGGTAGCTCCCTAGGAGGGACACCAGCGGCCACCTGGACACCTCCAGGAACGGGGAGCTCACTGCCTCCCCAGGACATAGCTGTCAGACTCAGAAAGTCCGTCCTTCCATGAGCTGGAATCTGCCTCTTGATAATTTCCACTGTAGCCCAAGAGTCTTCGGTCGGGTCAAGCATAACATATCTATTCTGGATGACCCAGGATGGCCCTTCTGAGCTTTGCAGATATGATAATGGTGTGGTGTGGTGGTGACAGCCTCTCTAGGTTAAATATCTGCAATTCATGAACCCAGAATGCCAGAGCTAGGAGTAGTCTCAGAACCTGGAACGTAAACTGACAGATCTGGGAGGGCCCTTAGAACAGGGAATGTCAAGGCTGGGAGGGCCCTCAGAGCAGGGAATGTCAAGGCTGGGAGGGGCCTCAGAGCAGGGAATGTAAGAGATGGGAGGGGCCTCAGAACAGGGAATGTCAGGGCTGGGAGGGCCTTCAGAGCAGGGAATGTCAGAGATGAGAGGGGCCTCAGAACAGGGAATGTCAGGGCTGGGAGGGCCTCTGAGCAGGGAATGTCAGAGATGGGAGGGGCCTCAGAACAGGAATGTCAGAGATGGGAGGGGCCTCAGAGCAGGGAATGTCAGAGATGGGAGGGGCCTCAGAACAGGAAATGTCAGAGATGAGAGGGGCCTCAGAGCAGGGAATGTCAGGGCTGGGAGGGCCTTCAGAGCAGGGAATGTCAGGGCTGGGAGGGCCCTTAGAACAGGGAATGTCAGGGCTGGGAGAGGCCTCAGAGCAGGGAATGTCAGGGCTGGGAGGGGCCTCAGAGCAGGGAATGTCGGGGCTGGAAGGGGCCTCAGAGCAGGGAATGTCAGGGCTGGGAGAGGCCTCAGAGCAGGGAATGTCAGAGATGAGAGGGGCCTCAGAGCAGGGAAGGTCAGAGCTGGGAGGGCCCTCAGATCAGGGAATGTCAGGGCTGGGAGGGCCCTTAGAACAGGGAACGTCAAGGCTGGGAGGGGCCTCAGAGCAGGGAATGTCGGGCTGGGAGGGGCCTCAGAGCAGGGAATGTCAGAGATGAGAGGGGCCTCAGAGCAGGGAAGGTCAGAGCTGGGAGGGCCCTCAGATCAGGGAATGTCAGGGCTGGGAGGGCCCTTAGAACAGGGAACGTCAGGGCCGGGAGGGCCCTTAGAACAGGGAACGTCAAGGCTGGGAGGGGCCTCAGAGCAGGGAATGTCGCGGCTGGGAGGGCCTTCAGAGCAGGGAATGTCAGAGATGGGAGGGGCTGGGAGGGCCCTCAGAGCAGGGAATGTCAGAGATGGGAGGGCCCTTAGAATAGGGAATGTCAGAGATGAGAGGGGCCTCAGAACAGGGAAGGTCAGGGCTGGGAGGGGCCTCAGAGCAGGGAATGTCAGAGATGGGAGGGCCCTTAGAATAGGGAATGTCAGAGATGAGAGGGGCCTCAGAACAGGGAATGTCAGGGCTGGGAGGGCCCTTAGAAACCCACTCCTTCACCTCCCCATTTTACAGTTAGAGGGTAATGAGGCCTAGAGAGGGTGGGCTGTGCTGCCATCTCTCTTCCTCCAGGCTCTTGTTCCCCTGGGCAGCCCGGCACCCTCTCCCCGGGCTAGCCAGGCCCTCAGGTGTGGGCCGGCTCTCACCTCGCGCATCTTTCCCACCCCCACCCCCAGGACATCCAGCAGCTCCTTCAACTCCAGCAGCTAGTCCTTGTTCCTGGGCACCACCTCCAGTCACCTGCACAGTTCCTGTTGCCACAAACCCAACAAGGGCAACCAGGTAAGAGTCCTGCGGAAGCCGCAGGGGTGGGGGCGGGGGCGCGGCCTGTGCCGTGGGACTGCTGTGGCTCTCTGGTGCCACCTTGTGGAATGGAATCCTAGGCGCTCTCAGCTTCAGAAGCTAAATCTCTTCCATAACATCCTTGACAAACCGGCCTCTAGCTTCTGCTGCTGTATCTCCTGGGACTGGGAGCTCACTACTTCCCAAAACATCCACTCCTTCTCCATACAGCTTTAACTGTTGGGAAGTTCCTTTGTTATACTAAGTTAAATTTTGCTTTCCTGGAACTTCTCCCCATTAATTCTCTTTCTGCTGTCTGGGCCCCACCAAAACAAGCATGATCCTCCTTTAAGGAAAGATGGCTAGAATCCTAGCTTTGGAGAGCAAGGAGAGACCCAGAGGGCATCTAGCTCTGCCTCGAGTGGGCAGAAATGCCTTTCTCCACATCCTGGACAAGCAGTCATCCAACCAGCCCTGGATGACCTGAACACCTCCAGGGATGGGGAGCTCACTACCTTTTGGGGGATGTTGATTCATTAATGGAGCCACCATTTGCCAGGAAGCTCTTCTTTTGGTCGAATCTGCCTCCCTGGGACTTCCCCTTACCCTGCTGCTCCCCAGGATCTAAAGGGGATCGCGTCAGATCTAAACTCAGGAGCCCTCTCTGGACATGTTGGCAGGAGGCGGGGGTGGGACATGCATTCGTTAGCTGGTGCCCAGTAATGCGACGGCAAAGATCCTTCCCTATGTCTGCAGAAACTCTGAGGTCAAGTCTAGTTAGGGCGTGATGAGTCAGGGGGCTGCATCCCCCTGAGGCTCTCTTTCCCCACCGACATTTGTACTGTCTCCCTCAGGCCTGCTCCCAACACCAAATCTGTTCCAGCTACCTCAGCAAAGCCAGGGAGCCCTCCTGACCTCCCAGCCCCGGGCTGGGCTCCCTACACAGGTAAGCAGCTCCCCCTTTAAGAAAAGCCAAATGACCTGGGGTCTGTTCCAGGAGCAAAGAGGCTCAGTCAGCTCCCCTAGTCACCTAGCCACAGAGCAGGTCCAGGAAAGGGAGGGACCTCTATTCCCAGCTGAGAGGAAGAGAGGGCAAGTGTGTGTGTGCCCAAGACAGTGCAGCAATCTCTTTGCTGCTAATTAAAAGGATGGCAGCTTTCCTGGTTCCAGGCTCTTGGGTAGATGAGAATGAGGCTTTCCAGTTGGCGGCTCCCTCTGATGCCTGCTGGTGGTATGAGAGTGAGCCTAGCTCTGGCAGCTGAGTGTGTGCCATCTGGTCAGCTCCAACAGGCTGGAAGGGCTTCAGTGTGGGCCCCTTGATGGGCCACCATCCAAGGACAAGTGTAGAGAGGCCCCCCACAGGGGCAGTCACAGGGCGATGAGTTTAAGGGCCGGCTCCTGAGCTGGGGAGGGAATCAGGGCCCTCCCACTCACCAAGTGACAAATGCTCAAGGCCTTGGAGCACCCTAACTTCTAGATTGTCTGAGGCTCAGAACGTGCTGTTCCACCCACGATTTCATAAGATCCCAGCCTTGAGTCTGCGTTGTTGTATGAACTTGGGTGCTTTCCTTCCCTCATCTGCAAAATGGGTGTAAGAGCAGGTGCACCATGTGCCTCCCAGGGTTGCTGAATAGAAATTGGAGTTATCATTATTCCTATTCCTAATAACATCCCCATGAAGCCAGGTGAAAATTATTCACCTCTTTTGTAGATTAGAAAACTGAGGGGGAGAGAAGGAAAGGGACTTACCCAAGGTCACACGAGCAGTATAGACAGGCTACTCCCAAGAGCTAGGATTCCAGTGCTGGATTTTTTAATTCCCATGTTCCACAGGCTTTACAAACTAAAGATGATAATATAACCTATTGATTTTGATATTGATATTAAGATGATCATATGATTTACTGATTTGGATGTTGCTATTAAGAGGATAATATATTGATTTGATGTTGATATTAAGAAGATAATACCTACTGATTTTGATGTTGATATTAAGAGGATAATATAATCTATTGATTTAGATATAGATATTAAGATGATAATATGATTTACTGATTTTGATGTTGATATTAAGAGGATAATATAATCTATTGATTTTGATGTTGATATTAAGTTAATATAATCTATTGATTTTGGTGTTGATATTAAGATAATATAATCTATTGATTTTGATGTTGACATTAAGAGGACAGTATAATCTATTGATTTTGATGTTGATATTAAGAGGATAATATAATCTATTAATTTTTATGATGGCATTAAGAGGATAGTATAATCTATTGATTTTGATATTGATATTAAGATAATATAATCTACTGATTTTGATATTGATATTAAGATATATAACCTATAAGTTATGTGTGAGTGCCCAGTGCTCAGAGGGTGATCAGGAGAGGGTTGGGTTGGTCAAGGAAGATGCCTTGAGGGAAAAGATGGGAGAGGCTGAAGATGAGGACATGGGGTGATGTCTTAAGTCAGAGAGCTGCATGAGCAGCCGAGTAAAGGGCAAGAGAGCCTCTGGAGACCCCAGACCCCCCCCCCCGGCCTTCCTTCCCTCAGGCAGTGACCCGACCCCCGCTGCCCGATCCGCACCTCTCGCACTCGCAGCCGACCAAATGCCTGGAGCCACCCTCCCACCCTGAGGAGCCCAGCGACCTAGAAGAGCTGGAGCAATTCGCTCGCACCTTCAAACAGAGGAGAATCAAGCTGGGTTTCACTCAGGTCTGGGGCTGAGCAGCGGGGCCGGGGGAAAGGGGGGCCCTTTGATGAAGCTGTCTGCGCTACGTGCAGAGCCCTCGGGAAGCCCACCGAGTCCGGTGTGGTTTACCTCCCAGAATTTAAAGCCCGAGACAGTTTTCAGAGCCCTGTACCGTGTACAAAGCGCCTTTCGCAGCCCATACCCCACGCTCAACAAGTTGATCCTTTTGTAGGAGTCCAGTGAGAGAGCCTGGGGAGGGGACAGGAAACGTGAAGTCAGGGCCGAGGGGGTGTGGGGAGATGGCCACCGCGGAGAAGAGTCCCGTGCTGCGCCGGGGCGGACCGCTAGACCCCGCTCTCCCTCCTCTCCAGGGCGACGTGGGGCTGGCCATGGGCAAGTTATATGGCAACGACTTCAGCCAGACAACCATCTCGCGCTTCGAGGCGCTCAACCTAAGCTTTAAGAACATGTGCAAACTGAAGCCCCTTTTGGAAAAGTGGCTCAATGATGCAGGTGGGTGTTCAGGGTCAGGGGCGGCTGCTGTAGAAGAAGCGCGGCCCGGAGCCTGCCTGGCCGCCGCTGTCCAGGGTGCTGAGGGAGGCGGAGGGAAGAGCGCTGGCGAACCAGGGGAGGAAGCCTAGAGACAGAGGGCAGGCCAGCCTGGCGGAGTCCTCTGACGCTGCCTCCCCCGGGACAGAGACCATGTCGGTGGACTCCAGCCTGCCCAGTCCTAACCAGCTGACCAGCCCCAGCCTGGGCTTCGATGGGCTCCCGGGCCGGCGACGCAAGAAGAGGACGAGTATTGAGACGAACGTCCGCTTCGCCTTAGAGAAGAGCTTTCTAGCGGTGAGGAGACCTGCCCACCTCCCCACTCCCTCCCGCCTTGTCCTGCTCCCCCCGGGCTGTCGGGGCTGCCGCTGACCTCTAGCCTCTCTGCCCCCCAGAATCAGAAGCCTACCTCAGAGGAGATCCTGCTGATCGCAGAGCAGCTGCACATGGAGAAGGAGGTGATCCGTGTCTGGTTCTGCAACCGGCGTCAAAAGGAGAAGAGAATTAACCCGTGCAGCGCTGCCCCCATGCTGCCCAGCCCGGGCAAGCCAGCGGCCTACAGCCCCCACCTCGGGCCTGGGGTACTGTGCTCCCCCTCCCCCTGGATCGTAGAGCTCCACCTGCAAAGTATTTCAGAGGCCATCTGGCCCAACCCCTTCATTTTACAGATGACGAAACTGAGGCCCAGAGGGAGAAATGACTTTCCCAAGGTCACACAGATAGCCATTGTTAGAGGCAGGATCCGAACCCAGGGCCAGAGCTCTTTTCTTCCAACCATATGGCCTCCTCGAGGCACTAGTGATCATCTACAAGCAGTCACATCAAGGCACGCTTGTGGCCACGCCAAACACACGCATTTATTAAGTTCCTGACATATGACAGGCACCTTCCCGAATGCAAAGATAAAAAGCAAACCTTAAAGGGGATTACATTCTACCCTGGAGTATATACAGATCTGAGATGGGAGAGTGCACTCATGAGGTGTGTGTATGTGTGTGTGTGTGTGTGGGGGGGTGGATTAAGAAGTTTCCCGTAGGCAGTGGCCTCAAAGAAAGGTGGTTCTTCTTGCTGAGTTTCAGTCACGTCCAGCTCTCCATGACCCCATTTGGTGTTTTCTTGTCAGAGATCCTGGAGTGGTTTGCCACTTCCTTCTCCAGCTCATTTTACAGATGAGGAAACTGAGGCAAATAGGGAGAAGTGACTTGCCCAGGGTCACATAGTCAGTAAGTGTCTGAGGCTGGATTTGAACTCGGGTCTTCCTGAAGGACAGTTAGGAATTCTCAAGGGAGAGGAGGAAATGCATTGCATTCAAGGAAGGGGAATAGCTTGTACAAGGTTACAAGGGCTGAAGATGAGAAGTCAAGTGAGGGGACCGGGTGTTAAGCCAGTTTGTCTGGAATGTCCATTTCATGAAGGAGAGTGATAAGAAATAAGTATGAAAAGCTAGGTGGGCACCAGATTTTGAGGGGCATTCAATGTGGAGCTGTGGAGTTTGGGGCTAGGCATTTACCCCAAAGGCATTAGAGAGCCACTGAAGATTTGCGAGCAGGGCAGTAATGCAGTTAGAACTGTGTGGGGTTTTTTCCCCCGAGGCAATTGGGGTTGTGACTTGCCCACAGTCACACAGTAAGTGTCAGGAGTCTAAGGCTAGATTTGAACTCAGGTCCTGCTGACTCCAGGGCTGGTGCTGTATCCACTGAGCCACCTGGCTGCCCCAGAACTTTGTTTTAAGACTTTGAATTCAGCAGCTGTGTGGATGATGGGTGGGAAAGGGTAGAGCCTGCAGGCCCAAACACCAAGAAGAGGCAGCTGAAATAGTGCAGAGGAAAGATGACAAGGTATGAACCACAGGGCACAGACTCACAGTGACACACGAGGCTGAAGCTTGGCTACAGCTGAGCTAGAGATGGGGTGGCGATCTGGTAGCATTTCTTCACATTTTAAAGGACCTGACATGGTGGCGACCTTGCTAGAACACAATAAGGGGTTGTCCCCTCTCCTATACCCCATCTCCTCCAGCTCTCAGCTTACTAACAGAGCCTCCAAGAAACATCCGTCCATCCCTCTTCCTCCACCCATCCCTCTATCTCTCCCCATCCCTCCGTCCCCGATCCACTAATCCCTCCACCCCTCCCTTCATCCATCCATCCATCCATCCATCCATCCATCCATCCCTCTGTTCTTCTGTCCATCCATCCATCCTTTCCGTTCCATCCCTTCTCTTATTCCCTGAGCTCTTATTCTGCCCTGAGAATTGAGAAGACATATTGAGAAAGCTCCAGACCTTTCTCTTAGGGATCTCAGAACCTAATACTAACTTACACCTATGACCTGATTTAAACAAAATCGAATCTGTGTGAACATCTAGGTTAGTGCCCAGTGAAGTAATTCTTTGATTGGCACAAAGATGTGTCCCTTTTTGAAGACTCCGCTGCTGAGTTCTTTTAAGCCCAGGGCTCCGTTATTGTTTGCAAGAGGGGATTCCATTCAGTTTGCACCGTAGATCTTCCGTGACGTCAAGCATTCCCAGGCAGCCATCTCCAAGTTTAACCAACAAATATGTGACACTTGCCAGAAAAGCTGTCTAAAAATGTTCAATGATTGTTGTTCAGTTGTGACCTACTCTTGTGACCCCATTTGGGGTTTTCTGGGCAAAGATACTGGAGTGGTTTGCCCTTTCCTTCTCCAGCTTATTTTACAGATGAGGAAACCGAGGCAAACAGGGTGAAGTGACTTGCCCAGGGTCATACAGCTAGGACGTGTCTGAGGCCAGATTTGAACTCAGATTCTCTTGACTCCAGGTCCAGCACTCCATACACTTCAGAGCTGGGAGGGATTCTTGTTTTACCGAAGGAGAAATCTTAGGCTGGGGGCAGGGATGGGGTGGGAGATTTCCCTCAGGTTCCATATCAGATTGGAGCCCAAGTGTGACCATAATGCAGGTCTCCCGCCTCCCAGGCTAGGAGTGTTTCCAAAAGAAAGCTACCAGACAGTATTCACACCCTCAACTTTGTGATTGTATTGACGCCTCATGTGAAATGACAAGTGACCTGGTTGAAAAAACCTACATGAAAACCATTATTACAGAATTAACAGGATCAGTCTGGGGGGCCTTGTATGGGATAACAGTTGAATGTTGGACATTATTCATTCCTTTAGGTTAAGCACCAAATTTATTGTGGGATCTTGGAAGAGATATTTCCCCTGTCTCAGCCTCAGTTTCCCCATTTGCCAAATGAAAGGAGCTGTCTTGAGGGTGCCTTTCATCTGTAACTGTGTTTCTAGAATTCTGAGATACCTATTACTGAAGATTAGATGTGGCATAATATACACATGCACACACACACAATATACATACATACACACATAATATGCAAGCATATGCCTATGCGTACATACAGGCACACACATGTATGTTTGTCATGCCCTGGCCTCTTCTTTCCTCATGCTCCCCGGTCTAGTCTGGGTCTCTGGAGTATGCGGGCAGTCCATCTTGGTGTGGTATGCCCGCGTGGGAATGACATCCTGAGGTACTTTCTTCCTTGTCTCTCCAGGTGACACCTCAGGGGGCTGGGGGGACCCTGCCACTGTCCCCGGCTTCCAGCAGTCTGAGCACAACAGGTCAGTCCTTGTGTGCAAGAAAAGAGGTACAGGGCGGTCTTTGGGACTTAAGTTAGGGGATGAGGGAAGGCGTGGGAGGGAGGGGCAAACCTCTCTCGGCACTCACTGGCTTGCCAGGGGACCTTGGACAACTCCCTTCTCAGCCTGAATTTTTTTTCCACTGTAAGAGAGGGGAGAAGGCTCCTTTCAGTGCTCCTTGGCTCTGGCACTCAGTGCTTCTGTCATTATCTCTCCTAGTTACTACCTTGTCCTCAGCTGTGGGGACCCTCCACCCCAGTCGGACAGCTGGAGGGGGCAGCAGTGGGAGTGGGGCCGTGACCCCCCTCAACTCTATCCCCTCCATCACCCCCCCACCCCCTGCCACCACCAACAGCACAAATCCCAGCCCCCAAGGCAGCCACACGGCCATCGGCCTGTCAGGCCTGAACCCCAGCACAGGGTAAGTCTGGGGCCCAGGGAGGGCAAGCCAGCCGTTACTGCTTCGAGAGGCCGTACCCCTGCTCCTGCTAACCCCCTGCCTCCCCCCACTAACCCGTCTGCTTTGCCTCTTCTAGAAGCACAATGGTGGGGCTGAGCTCGGGGTTGAGTCCGGCTCTCATGGGTAACAACCCTTTGGCCACCATACAAGGTGCGTCACCTTACATCACACTCCCTTTGTCCCCTCTGCCATCACCCCATCCATGCTTTCGAAGGACATCAGGGGGGCTTTTGCTGGACTCATCTGCATGCCTGTAACTGCTTCTGTGATGGGCAGTGTGTGTGTGTGTGTGTGTGTGTGTGTGTGTGTGTGTGTGTGTGAGAAAGCTTCCAGCGCTGACACTTGGGTTTGGGGATGTCCTCACCCTCAGGCTCAGCTCAACCCTCCCTGTCTCCCTCAGCAGCCCCTGGGCATCACTCCCTGCCCCATCCCTCGTTCATTGCATTACTCCATCTCACTGTTCTAATTTTGTGGAAGGAGGATAGGTGCCTCCAGATGTGAGGAAGATGGTTCTAGGGAGGGGAAAGGCAGCGAGCGGGGTCTGCTAGAGAAAAGCACTCAAAGTGACCTCCAGGTGAGGGAAAATAGCCCAGGTGGGAGAATGGCTTCTCTGTTCTGGGGGATCCCAAGTGGAACTGCTCAGTTCTTCAGAATATTTATTGGAACTAGAAAGAGTCTTAGAACGTGAAACAGAGTGCCAGAGATGGGAGGGACCCTAGAACAGAGTACTGCAGAGCTGGGAGAGGCCTTAGAACAAAGAGTGTCAGGGCTGGGAAGGGCCTTAGAACAGGGAAGGTCAGAGGTGGGAGGGTCCTTAGAACAGGGAAAGTCAGAGGTGGGAGGGTCCTTAGAACAGGGAATGTCTGGGCTGGGAGGGGCCTTAGAAAATAAAACAGCAGAGCCAGGAAGGACCGAGGAGGTCATTCCACCTAACTATAAAGATGGAGAAATTCATACTCTGAGAGGACAAGAGATCTGGCTTGGCCTGCGGGTGTCCCCCTCCATCTCCAGTCCCACCTTCCCTCTCTCTTTCTCTCTCTGTCTCTCCAGCCCTGGCCTCTGGTGGAACTCTCCCCCTTACCAGCCTTGATGCCAGCGGGAACCTGGTGCTGGGGGCAGCTGGGGGCGCCCCAGGGAGCCCAGGCATCGTGACCTCACCACTCTTCCTGAACCATGCCGGGCTGCCACTACTCAGCGCCCCTCCAGGGGTGGGCCTTGTATCAGCTGCAGCAGCCGCTGTGGCAGCCTCGATCTCCACCAAGTCCCCAGGCCTCTCCTCCTCCTCTTCCTCTTCCTCCTCCTCCTCCTCCTCCTCTTCTTCCTCCTCTTCCTCCTCCTCTTGCATCGAGACAGCAGCACAGACCCCCGGAGGGCCTGAGGCAGGGGCCAAATCGGAATGAAGACACCCCCTCTGCCTTTCCCTGCCACCCTCCACCCTCGCCCACCTCTGGTCTCCTCAGTTGGGGAAGCTGGTGGTAGGGGGACAGCGGCGGGGGATTGAGGTGAGGGTCCGGGAGCTGGAGAAAGAGAGTGGAGGAAACACCAAAAAAAAAAAATACCCCCAGAAAGAAAAAACCAAACAAAAAATAAAGTAAAGCCAAATAGAAACAGACATAACCAGCCGCCCAGAATGAGCCGGGGCGAACAGAAGAAACCAAAAAACGAAACCAAAAAAACCCAGTCCAGAGCCAGACCTCAGTGCGCTCACCGCTCACCGCTATAACACCAAATCAGCGCGTCTCCCCGCTCCGCGGAGACCAGACGCCTCCGCCGGGGCTCCCTCTAGTAGCCGACGGCTGGGGGCTCTGCGGCCCTCCTCTACCCAGTGGAAAAGGAGAACGTGTCGGTCCCCGGAGGGTGGGGGAGGAAGGTGGGGGTGGGGCGGGGGACCAGGGGAGGGAACAACTGTGGATTTTTCTTTTCCAGAAACCAAAAGAGACAGGGCCCGAGAAACCTCACACCAAATAGCCGGTAGCTTCATCCAAAGGCCTGTATAGAACTGGGCGCGTTCGTTGTGCTCCCCCGAATGTGTCCCCCATCCCCTCTCCCGGCCTGGGGGTGGTGGGGGGACTTGTTTTAACTGCCTTTTTTTTTTTAAACGGAGAGTAAAAGGGAAGGGGGGGGAGACTGGAGACCTCTCTCTCTCCCCCCCCCCCCCCCTTAGCCTCTCCCCATCTCCTTCTTTGGCGTGGGGGTCCGGCCATTTGGCTGCGTGAATCCCATCTCCTGGGCTCCCCTGGCCCCTCTGGTTCCGTGCTTAGGGAGTGAGGTCTGGGTGGGGGCATGGCAGAGCACGTGGGAGCAGGGCAGCCCCAGCTCTTGCTCATTCCTGTCTGCCAGCTTCCCCATCCCTCTCCCTCATCTCTAAAAAAACAAAAAAAAAAACCCACAAAAAAAACCAAACTCATATTCCAGTGCCTATCCGTGGGATTGTTCATGCTTTTACATTATCCAGAAAAACCAAAAAATCGTTCCCTCGCCCCTGCCCACCCACTACACACAGGAAGATGTCCCACTCCTCCAACCCCCACCCCATCCCCACCCCCCACCTCCAACCTCAAGATGGCCACTCCCAGAATCAGGGTCTGAGTTGGGGGAGGGGGATGCCACCATTGTCCGCTCAGTGGCTCCCTGTGGGCACTGGGATGTATCTAGATGACAGAGGCCTGTGGGAACACTGCCGTCAGGGTTGTCCCTCTGCCGGCCATGTCTTGAACCAAAAAGAAAAAAAAGGAAAAAAAAGAAGAAAAAAAGAAAAAAAAGTACCACAAAAAAATAAAACTGAAAAAAAAATTTTTAAATAGAAAAATCTATAGATATATATATTTAAGGGAAAGAAGAAGAGTACTAAGACTACTCTTAAGAGAAGACACTGGAGGAGCCGGGAGGGAAGCATAGGGCCTCCAGAGTGATGGTGAGGGCCTTCAGCCTCCGCACCGGATGGACAGACGAATAGATACTTCTTTCTCGTCACAAATACCTCATGGACCTCTATGGGGGTTGGGAGGGAGGGGAAGAGATGGCCTCTTGCCCAGGAAGGATGGGCTGGGGCAGGATGGGAGGATGTCAAGGCCAGGACCCAGAGGGAGCCCCCCTCTTGCCCAGACTGCTGTGCCCTCCCCCACAAAATCAACTGAACAAAGCTTTAGATGTACGGCAGAAAACCATGAAAGGAATCTATGAAGAAACAACAATTTGGGGGTGGCTTGGATCCTCCTTTGAAGGCCCCCTGTTGGTTCTGACTGGTCTTTCTTCCCCTCTCTCCTTCCCTTTTCTTTCTCTCCTTCCTCAAACCAAAGTGTTGCTGGGTAGGAAGTGAGCCATTGGTGTGAGAGCCCACCCTCCGTTGGCAGGGGCTGGCACCTTTGCTGCATCGGGCAGTAGAGAGAGACCCCTGGATGAGAGGTGGCGTCCACCTGGATACTCCTCTTCCTGCTGGACACAAGAGGAGAGATGGACTGAGTCTCATGCACCTGTCCCAGGTGCCTGGGACTCTGGTGTTTTGATTCCCTCCCCAGCCCTCATCTCAACCTGCCTCTGGAGGAAGGTACAGAGCAGTTCAGACCGTGCCAGCCTGTGCCCGCCTCTCTGTCTCTCCCCGGACTGTGGGAGCCTGTGGAGCATCCTCTGTAGGATCCCCATCCCAGGAAGCCTCATCTTGGGAAGGACGGAGACCCTCCAGTTCTCCAGGTTCGAGGGAAGCTGTAGATGCCCCCCCCCCACTGCTGGTTCCCCAGCAGAATGTACACCTCTCCACAGGACTGGATTCCCCACCTTCTCCCTACGGCCAAGTGTTTCTGCTTTCGTTTCCGAGACAGAGAGAGACAGGAGGGGGACTGGGACCAGGATGAGAATGTGTGAGCCCCTGAAGGGGCCTGGGGGAAATGGGGCTAAGGGCTACTCGCCTGGACAGGGATGACAGAACGTAACAAACGAAAGGGAAAAAGAAAAACCATGGACAAAATCTACAGAGGGCATTGCTGAGAACGCTCCAAATCTCTGGAAAACAAACAAAAACTTTGAATCTAGACCAAAAAAACCAAACCAAAACCAAACTGGAACCCCCCTGCTGGACTCACCATCCTCGCCTCCACATCTCCTTCCTGCCCATCCTGGGCCCGTGCTCCCCAGGTACCTCCCCTGCCTTGGCTGCTGGGGGCAGTGGGGGACATGGATGGATGGAGAACGAAGGAGACGGAAGACATGGCCGGGCCATAGCCCCTGCCTCAGGGCAGTTGGGAAGGAGGGTCCTCCTGTGGCACCTCTCCGCATCTTCACTCAACTTCCGGGCGAGAAGGAAAAAAAAAATTCTCGGGGGATTAAGAAAACACAAACAAAAAACCCAACCCACAAACTCCCAAGCTTTAACTACAGCTGTGAAACCAAATATTTTGGGAAGGGGTAGGGGAGGGAGGGGCAGGTGAGCCCCAGGTCTCCCCCCTGGGCCCCCCCTCCCCCCAGGACTGGAGATAAGGCACCAAATACCTCATAGAACTTTAATGTTAAGAGAAACCAAATATCGTCGGCGTAGGGGGCCGGCTGGGGAGTGGGGGTGGGGGGGGGCAGCAAGAGGGAGGTCAGGGACTGAGGGCCAGGCCATGGAAGGCTTGGGGGTGGTAGCTACATGCTACCCCTTCCCCTTCTCCTGCCCCTTCCACTCCTGTCCCCCTCACCCCGACTCCGGGAAGCAAAACTATCTCATCCTTTTGATTTTGTGATTTGCGCAGGGGGCCTGTGCCCGTGTGTCTGTGTGTGAGCGAGAGAGAATCGGGGAGACTGGGATTTTTTTTGTGGGGGGTGGGGGGTTAGGGAGGGGGAGACCCTGGGGGTTTGGGAGTAGGTTAGATGTTGGGGTGGGGGGAGGTTTGGGGTGGAGAGAGGGGGTGGGATGGGTGGGTGAACCGAAGAAAGGAGAAAGGGGAATCCCCTCTCTTCTGGCCTCTCCTCTCCCCCCCCTTTCAGGTGAGGGCAGAGATGGGGTCCAGCCATGTGGCGGGCCCTCTAACTGTGCCAAAAATCATCCCCTCCCCCAACCAAACCACCTTTCTCTGTGATCTCCTGGAGGGAAGGGGGAAGGCAGAGGCTGGGGGTGGGGGCAGGGTGACTGTGCAAGAGGCTCACCCTCTTCTTTGGGCCATCACAACCCTCACCAGCCCCCAACCCAGGACGGGTAGAGTTCAGACAGGGGACTGAGTCCAGATACCAAAGTCTTCACAGAGCCCCCTCCCCCACCGTGACAAGAAGGGATGGCAAGGGTCGGGAGGTGGAAGGTGATGTCAGTTTCTAAGCCAGGACAGCTGAGGTGGACTTTAGGGAAAGTGGAGTGAAGGGTGCTGGCTGGCTGAGGGAGAGCCCTGCCCCAGCTGGCACCTTCTGCCCTCCTGAGAAGCCAGATCCTCATCCCCGGCCTGACGCTCCTGCCCAAAGCTTGAGAGACTGAGAGAGTGTGAGAGACGGAGAGACAGAGACCTGTGGGCCCGGGCCCCAGTGCAGAGAGACAAGGCCTCCACGAGAACAAACCAAAAACCAAACCAAAGATTTTAACAATTAAAAAAAAAAACACAAAAACCAAAAAAAAAACCCAAAAACCAAAAAAAAAACCCAGACAACTCCGCTACCTTTTTATACGTCAGAAAAAAGCGAAAAAAATATAAAAATGATAATTAAAAAAAGGAAACTAATCCTAAGCCACAGTCCCTTGGCGTGGCTTGAACTTTGACCTCAGCAGTCTCCAGAACAAGACATCAAAGACAGCGAAAAGACAACAGAAGGGGAAAAAAATAAATAATGTATATTTTTAACTATTTGTCCTTGAAATTTTAGCTCCTGGTTTAAAAAAAAAAAGGGAGAAAAAAATTTCCAGAGAAACGTCGCTGGGGATGGAGACAACTATTTACTGTGTCTGTGACTCCCCTTCACCTTTCCCTCTTTCCCTCCCTCCTCCTCACCCACCTCTTCTCCTACCCCAGGGGCCCTGTATTTATTTATTTATTTGTGTGTCCTGTCAGGTTGACATGGGCGTTGGAATCTCCTTTACCTATGGTGAGGGGAGGTATTTCTGGGCCATTGGGAAGGGCTAGGTTTTTCTCCCTTTCCTCCAAGTGGCTAGATTTGTAGATGGTAGGGCACAGGGGCAGAGGAGTAGACTTGGCCCACTGGCCAGCCGGTCACCATACTGCTGCCAGTCCTATCCATCCTGAGCTCAGGTCTGCACTAGGATGAAGCCTGATCTCACAAAACCAATTGCATTGATGGCAGCCCATGCCTTGTACAGACTGGGATTATTTGAGCCCATCCCAGGGGTCATCCTCTCCTGCAAAGCCCAGGATTGTCTAGCCCATCAAGGGCCCTTTCTCACCTACCAACATGAATGACCACTATATATTCATGAAGTGGGAGGCAGGCTGTATGTAGAAGGGAGACAGACCCATGGCCCGACCCCTGCCCATGTCCCCTCCTGCTCCCTTGGTCATCCCACCCCGTGTCTGTAAGCCCTTCCCACACCCCACTCCCCCACCCCCTTTCCCTGTCTCTCTTCTCGTGGTAGCGGATTAGCGTTTCAGTGTTAAATTCAATCTGCTTGTTCATTGTACGATGTGCTTCTTTTAAGGCCCAATTTTGTAACTTGAATGTGTCATTCATCTGAACAACGACAAAAAAATTAAAGATTGTACAGAG